ACCAAATTATGTTGTCTTGCTGTTTAATCCAATAAAATTTTAGCCTGTACACAATAACCTATAGTCCAATTAAAGGCAATCTGAATTGACTCGACATGGTCCATGCACATGATAAACAATGGTAGACTAATAACTGTTCAATAGCCCTCATGCAAAAAAGAAAAGAGAGATCAATCCTTTGTCCATAGTTAAGTGTATTAAAATATTTGTTGTGTATTGAAAACTAAATTAAGAGGGTAAATAATAGTTATTATAAAATATTTCCAGCATGCATGAAAACCTTTAAGAATTGATAGAATTTCATTTAATTTCTTTGAAATGGAAAATAATTCAGGGAGAATACTGCTTTGAAATAGTTAACTCATTTTTATGTGTATTAAATAATACAGTCTACTTTTTAAAACAAAATTCAATTCCATTCTTTTCAATATGGCGCTCTACAGATTGATCTCTGAAACTAAAAACTAACCTGTTCCGATTCTTTCTACAATTACAAAAGTTCAAATGTATAAATAACAATCCTTTAAAGCCACATTATCAAACCTTTATTTTATTATTATTAAAGTTGATTTTTTTTCATATGAATAAAATGAGATAAGGGGTATGCATTGATGACTGAGACAGCAACCCAATGAGTATTGACATAAAGTCAAAAGACATTCTTGGTCAATATTCTGTCTTCAACACAAGACAGTTGTCCATGGATACAAATATGTCAATCACTTAATTTGCCCCAGGTCTGAAAAAGTAGTAACTAAATTAAACAAAGACTGATAACTCTTTTAATTTTTTTTATCCGCACTAATTTTCAAATTTGTCCAAGACATTGCTAATATAAACCTATGATATAAGTTTCATAAAAATCTGGCAAGAATTGTACAAATGAGAGCAATAACGATGAAATTTTCCATAAAATTAATGTTTCCAAGGGACATAACTCTTTTAAAAATAATTGATCGGCAATGATTTTTGAACTCGTCCAAGACATAGCTAATATAAACCTATGATATAAGTTTCATAAAAATCTGGCAAGAATTGTACAAATGTGAGTGATAACGATGCAATTTTCAATATAATTAATGTTTGCAAGGGGCATAACTCTTGTAAAAAGAATTGATCCGCACTGATTTTTGAACTCGTCCAAGACATTGCTAATATAAACCTATGATATACCGGTAAGTTTCATATAATTCTAGCAAGAATTGTACCCGTGAGAGTGCTAACGATGCAATTTTCCATAAAATTAATGTGTCCAAGGGGCATAACTCTTTTAAAAATAACTGATCAGCACTGATTTTCGAACTAGTCCAAGACATTGCTGATATAATTTCATAAAAATCTGACAAGAACTGTACAAGTGAGAGCGCTAACAAGACCAGACGGACGGATGCCCAGTATTTCCAAGTCCCCCGCAAAAAGACTAAGTCCCAAGTCAGGAGCCTGTAGTTCAGTGGTTGTCATTGGTTCATGTCTGTCATATTTGTTTTTCGTAAATTGTTTTGTTATAAATTAGGCCGTTAATTTTTCTTAATTGAATTGTTTCATATTTTTCATGTAGTGGCCTTTTATAGCCGACCATACGGTATGGGTTTTTCTCATTGTTGAAGGCCGTACAGTTGCCTATAATTGCTTACATCAACTTCATTTGAAATTTGGTGAATAGTTGTCTGATTGGCAATCATACCACATTTCCTTATTTTTATATAGCATACATGTAGTATGCATATTCAAGATCAACAATTAACACAGTGTGACATTAAGATACATAAGACAACAACTAATGAAGATCCTAACAGGCATATGAGCGTTGTTCTTTCAAATACAAACTTTTGATATTTAACTCCTCAGGATTAAAATGAGGATTGCTAGGGTGGCATTAGGCCACACCAAGTTTATGTCTTTGCCCTGCATGATTCCGGATGTTAGTTTTACAGGAATTGTTTTGCAAATTTCAAAAGGTCGAGGCTAAACACACTATACATGTACTTTGTATACAGACTACTGACATGACTGATACAATAAGCAGAAATGATGAGACATTCTTAAAGTTGAGGTCCAATGTTCAGTGTCAAAAGGGAAGGGGGAAATGGAGTTATTGTTGTCACTTCAACACACTTATAAAACACTTACATCAAGATGTCATTAAATGTAATTGAATATCCTGCAATTTTTATGTTTTCCCTTATGATGGCTTATCAAATATAAAGGTAAACAAGAAATGATTGTAACAGGATGCTGTTACGAAGTCTCCCAAACGAAGCTCCCATAATTCGTAATTCCCAGGGTCGCCTGACATTGGGCAAAGTCCAGTGAAAATTGGTTTGGTCCAGTAAAGTTATATGCATTAGTGATGCCTGGGGACTAACCCTGTATATCATTCAAATCATCTTGGCATGACAAACCAGAATATATATGGTTTAGGGGTGGGGATCTCAACCATTTACAAGATATTAGAACTTTCTCAAATGGCAGGGGGTCTGGATGACCCCTGGGGACTAACACTGTATATCATTCAAACCATCTTAGCATGACAAACCAGAATATATATGGTTTAGGGGTGGGGATCTTGACCACTTACAAGATATTAGAACTTTCTTAAATGGCATGGGGTGAGGGTGACCCCTGGGGACTAACCCTGTATTACATTTGATGTGCTTTATCATGACAAACCAGAATATATATGGTTTAGGGGTGGGGATCTCGACCATTTACAAGATATTAGAACTTTCTCAAATGGCAGGGGGTCGGGATGACCCCTGGGGACTAACCCTGTATATCATTCAAACCATCTTAGCATGACAAACCAAAATATATATGGTTTAGGGGTGGGGATCTCGACCATTTACAAGATATTAGAACTTTCTCAAATGGCAGGGGGTGGGGATGACCCCTGGGGACTAACCCTGTATTTCATTAAATGGGCTTTATCATTTAGAACATTTTCAATTAAAAAGATTGTGTCTATCACAAACGGTTTTCAATTTATACTCATTTGAAAATTTTTAAAAATAAAATCCCATAGGGTTCTATAGTAAAACCCTATTTTCTTTTTGCCCCTCAAAGTACCCCTTTATAAACCCCATTGCACAAACAAAACCCTGATTGCACCACTAGACATGTTAGTCTAACATATTGTGAAACCCTAAGTTAATCTGACAAGCGGTTTTGGAGAACAGGTGCGGACAAGTTCAAATTTAAAAGCGGCGGAAGAAGAAGAAGAATAATAATAATAATAACTGAGCAAAAACAATAAGTCTTCCCAAACTTCGTTTGGAAGACTTAAAAAAGGCCTTAAATGACGATGTGTGTCCAATTTAAGCGTTTTCTCCTGAAAAACATAATCGACTAGATACATCCAATCAAGCTAACACTCTTAAGGGTTAATCTAATACTTAAATTTAAGTGACATGTGAAAAAAGGCCAAACAAGGATACCTTTAAATCTTAGTAATGCGGAGTATAATGTATTATTGTAAATTTTAATGTCAGCACAGTCATCTACTAAAAAAATATTTGTGTCCCATCAGATTCATTGCAATAAAATTAAAAATGTTTCGCGCACTGCCCCTCTTTTTTCATTTGACATGTTTGAAAAATACTTGACCAAATATTTTTTTGGTTTGGCCTTATGGCTCTAATTATATAAGGTATTCTTAGTAATGGCAAAAACTCATTAATTACAGGAAAATAGGTTAAAACACATTTGTCAATGCATCAAATACATTACAGGTCTGTAAAAATTTAACTTAAATGGAACCTCACGATTCATATGACATAAGCTGAACAGTAAAAACAATCATGCGAACTCCCCCTGTTAAAAATAACTCTCAGGGACTGACCAGGTAGAACCTGTCTTATATAATAAAACATTTAGTGACAATAGCTGAAACACAGAAAAATAGGGATCTATGCCCAAAGCCCTGGTGAATGACAGTCCTATCATTTTATCAAAAATGTTGCAACAGTCCCAAATTAGGACCTTTCAGTAGACTTCTCAACATTGGATGATTCAGTGAGGACATACATCCAGCTTTTAAATCAGAAAAAATATATAAATATTGCAATGAATTGTACAAAAAATATTTGCTTTGCAACCCTTGGTGTGGCTGCAGAACTGTAGCTCTTAGGTCTTTATGAAATTTTTTGACAATTTGCAGACCAAATTGGCAAAAAATATTTTTTGGACCAGAGCAACCCCTGTATTTGTCCGCCATTACTGGACATCCCAGAAGTTCCTGTAAAACTTTGACATCACAAGTGAATGTCTGACGCCACAAAGGAAAAGTGATTGTTGTATGAAGACAATAGTTTAAGTGTCGCAGATCCCCAAATAGCAATAAGGTATAATTGTTGAGGGTCTTAATGGGGGTACCTTCATGACAAATAACGGTAAAAAATCTTGCCAAATGACGTTAACCGTAATTTGAGGTGCATGCCAATAATATGTACACTTTCTTTAGGACGTTAAAAAAATCGACTGATTTAGAGGAATCATTATAAATTCTTTCCAAAAATAACAGTAACTGATAATTTATGGAGAAGAATCATGATAAAATTTTAACCAATTTGATGCTAACGGTAGCGGAAAATTACCGTTTGAGGGGGGACGCCTGATGGTAAAGGGCATTCCTACCCTCATTGTTGTGGTGCACCAAAACACCCATGCGGGCCATGGCCATGGGGATTTTTTTTAAAAGTTGGCAGGTATGTTTCATTGATCCCTAGATCAGCCCCTGACTGGAACTACATTTGCATTTCTTAACAGGTTAAATGAGTTTTTAAGGATTATCATCACTTCAACAGTTCTATTGGCTGTTGGACAACTTGTTCATAACTTTGCAAAGCCAGAGGCAATATTTTTCCGCATATGGAAAGTGATTTTCCAAATTTCTACGCAATACCACTGTTCTAGCATGCTTGCAATCTGATAAACAGATATTGAAAATGTTTTGTTTGCTGTTTAGATTACTAAAGTACTCATCGTAGCTTAAGTAAAATTACTTTGTCCATCAAGCCGGTCTTTTTCGAAGCCATCTCTCAAAGAAATGAAACAGGAAGTACACGTAGAATAATCGAAAACCAAATGGCGTACACTTTAATTATTAAATAATATACTAATAACTCTATCCTGTTTGCCCTTTTTATAATAATAATTATTTTTCTTTATTAATCAACTTAACATACAGAGAGAATCAGTAAAGTGAAATTTATTCAAAGTTTCGAGATTACTAAAATCGTAACCGGAAGTTGTGGTAAATTCCATAGAAATTTTGTTTGGAAGCCTTGACAGGTATGAACATTTAAAAATTTCACCTTTCTTAGAAAGCCATACGAGATAGAAAGAAATAGAGACATAAAGTAAAGATAATTCTCCTACGTTTGAAAGTTCTTTTTATGTATTCTCATATGCTCATATGAACAAGCGTTCTGAATACCATATTCTTCTTGTTGACTGACTTTTTAAAATTTTGTGGAAGTGGATAAAATTTGTTGAATCAATACAATAGACTTTAAGTTTATGACTTTTCTAAAAGCGGTAACATTATTTCCCAAGGGATGTCAAAGTTTTCAGTTTAATGAATCAACTTATAGGGATTAGAATACTACTTTTGCAGGTATAAATGGGTACAAATAATTGTAGTCTCGGGGCACTGGAAATTTCAGTACATCAAAAGGGTGATTTTCACACTCCCAAACACTTCTCTGGTACCCAGACAGGAGTTTTAGCTAGAATGGGTACTTTGGAGGTCTCGGTTGGTCAAAGTTGCCCCCTACTTTGACCTGGAGATCAATCTTCTGATATCTCTCCGGTTTGTCTGTTCCCGTCGTGTGTCATGGTGGTTCTCTCCGAGTACTTCGGCTTCCTCCACCATAATAACAGACTTCCCGGTGTTCTTATGTTCAATTTATATTATTTTCAGTATCAAAGCTCATGCTACAAGGCGAATATGGCAGAGAAGTCACTTTTCACGACTGTCAAAGTGATATCTAGTCATCCTGGATAGAATGCTAGTCGTTTCATAACCTGGTCGTTTCGTACCTGGTTGATTCGTAACTAGGTCGATTCGTAACAGACGTTTCGTACATGGTGTAATTATATATGGTCATAAAGTGTGTCTCTATTACATGTAGTTTTGTCTTAATTAAACAGTTAAAGATAATATATATACATCAATTCACTAGTTTTGTCTCTGGAAGTGTATATCTCTTAGAAATTACTATATATTGAAGCCATACCATAAAATTTCGTGTGTTTTGTTCATATAATACAGAAAATAATTTAAATAAAGTAATTTATTTATCAAAGTTCTGCATACTTCTAATTACACTTTTTATTTAAAAATGATCAGAGTGTGCATCAAATAATAACAATAATGTAATAATTTAATTTGTTTTTTTAAATATTTAATTCTTGGCTAAATGGTGATTAAGCCAGGCGTTGATGGTTTTATGACAGCTATTGACAGGTGATTATAAGTAATTAGGTGTAAAGTGATTAAGTAGCAAATCAAAAAATGGCACACGACCTGAAAAATTTTTTTTTTTGTAAATCGTCTTCTGGGGTCCATCTCAATGATGATGGACAATTTACATTCTTCTGTTTCGTATGTGATCAAAACTGTACTTGTTAAATGTGAAATTATGTGCAATCAATTATTTAATAAATGCTATATATAGATATATATATTAATAAATCTTTTTATTTTGTTAATCGAAATATTTATTCAACATTTCTTCCATAACCTACAGCTCATATCATGATATATTATTATAAGGTTACGAAACGTCTCAGTCACCAAACGAACTAAGTTACAAATCGACTAGGTTACGAAACTACCTGCACCCCCTGGATATTCACAATAGTCCCTTTTGTTATCATTAATTTTCCATTTATACCACATTATTGAAACATCATTTTTTCGTTTACAAGTACATGAAGTAAAGAAATCCAAAGACATAGACAATTTCTTTCATTTTTTGTAAGTTGAAAACGAAAGTTAAAAGAAGCAGCTTGAAAATCCTAATATTATCAATAGGCATACATGTACCAGTTGTCTTTTTTGTTCATTTCAGGGAAACTATTTGTTCAGTCATGAGTGAACAATTGAAGTTCATCACTCAGGAACTGAAAAAAGAACCATTCAGTAAGACCTACAACTTGATATCATTTGATTCTCTTGAACCACTTCAGCTGTTACAAGTTCTCAATGATATCATCGCTGTCATTGATCCCAAGGTAATAAAATAATAACTGAATACAAATGGAAAACAACCCTAAGCTTATTGATATAAAATCCACTGGTCCCTTCCATGTAATTTTTCATACAATGTACATGTACAATGTATTACTAAGTACAGTTAAAAAACACAACAGGGTTTCCCCTGTGTAAATTTTCTTTTTTGCCTACTAACAAAGATATTTTTGTTTAAAAATTTTCCTTCTTTCTAACAAAAAAAATTCAGGTTGCATCATTGTTATCATGTTTACTATAATTTTACTTATCTATTTTATAATCTACATTGTAATAAAGGAACACTCAATTAGGCTAAATAAAAATATATTTGTGGTTCCAGTTTCCTGACCAACCCAATAACTTTTTATTGCATTTCTGAAAAATAAATTTTGAACGATACTATTTTGTGAAATGTAAACTTCAATAATTAAATTCACAGACTTCTGTCTTCTGAATTTTCATTAGAAGTATCCACTACGGAATGCAACAAATTTAACTAAAAAACGTAACATGTCTGTTTATTATTTATTTGGCCTCAGAAGAAAAAATCTTATTTACTTTTTAAAGATACTTTAAAATTGCATTACAAATTATGAAATTATCATATTTGACTTCTGGGAACACGGATTATTCTTTAATCAGATTATCAGATATTTACTGTCTAGTGAAGAACAAAGAATAAAATCAGAGGTTTTTCTTACTTTTGAACGTTTTTTTCTTCAAAATAACAGTTTTCTTTTGCAGACCATTCTTAAATGTAAAAGTTAGGATGTAAAACAGTTGTATCGGTAAAATGAATTTCACACTTCAAAACAATTATTTTTATCTAAGTTGTACAAACAACTCTTTAGGTGACATGTTTCACGACAAAATTTCATTAAACAATACAGTTAACACCTTTATTGATTAGTCCATTGTTGCCAATACATGTAGCTATCAGATGCGATCAGTCGGTTATTGATTTTCTGTCAAAATTGTAATGCGTGACAGTTGAGGGTGAAATCTGAGTATGGTCTAATCAGGGAAACAGTCCTAGAAACCTGAACAAAATAAAAAAGATGTTCCAAGTCGAACCATTATATTTCTTTTGCCTAATTTGATTTTTTCCGGCCAAATGCCAGCGGAAACCCTGTGTCACAATATTCTAATAACTGGTGAATTTCTGTTATGTTGATCAATACAGAAAAACTGTTCTGATTAAATAAAGATCAAGTTTTTTTAAATGATTACAGTACATGTACATGCTCATGAAGCATTCCTCTTAAAAAAATTTATCATCATTAGGAAAGCTTACTTTTATTACTATTACTTGAACATGTATAGAATAGTCAAAAATATAGATGATAAAAGTGTTTATAAATAAAGCATCAGTCTTGAACTTTAGATTTGTCAAACCTCAAAGTGTATTGTTTTTAATTTCTTGTCTGCAAGGAATTAGGGTTTACAATATGGCGGCAGAAACGTAAAGTATTTGTATTTTAACTTTATATTTCAGAGGGAAGAAGACCTGGAGACTTCATGCCTTGTATTCAAATGTTACAAAGTTTCTGTCTGTAATATAACCGTTGTCCTTGACCTCCTTTTAGTTGTACAGCAACTGCACGGAATTGTTTAAAAGTTTTTTTGTCATGTGAATTTCTTACTTTTTATGAGTAATAGAATAACTATATTTGGTATATGGGTTCCTTGCAAGGTCAGCATTTCCGTCCGACAGGGTTCACTTGACCTCTACCTCATTTCATGGATCAGTGATCAGGGTATTAGCAGTAGTTCTACAATGTTTGGTTTATGGAATGATTGTAAGGTGTACATGTCAGTCTGGTAGATTTCATCTGACCTTGACCTCATTTTCACGGTTCATTTGTCAATGTTAAGTTTTTGTGTTTTGGTCTGTTTTTATAATACAATAAGCAATCTAGGTCAACTGTATTTGGTGTATGCAATGATTGTAAGTTGTACATGTCTGTCATGCAAGTATCATCCGCTGATGACCTCATTTTTGTGGTTCATTAGTCAATGTAAAGTTTCAATAGTTAGGTCCTCTTCTAAGATACTATAAGCAATGAGTCAGCTATATTTGGCATATGAAATGATTTTAAGGTGTACATGTCTTTCTGGCAGGGTTTATCTGGCCTTGACCTCATTGTCATGGTTCATTGGTCAATGTTAAATTTTCCTGGTTAATTCTGTTTGTCAATTATATTTGATGCATGGAATGATTGTCAGGTGTGCATGTCTGTCTGGCAGTGTTGAATTGATGAGACATTTCAGCATGTGCACTCTTGATTTCAAAGTGTATGTCAAATGTAGTGTAATGTAGATATATTTTAGAGTATTGTCTTACATGTATTTTGTACCTTGGAATTTACTCAGTCCAAATTATGAAAGCACTAAGCTGTCAAACATGCACTGACTGAATTTTTCCATGTTCTTTAATAAGAACGCCCACTCACTAGGTTTACAAGCAAAACCATATAGATTTATTCTTGTATATAAAAATAACATGCCCAAAAGTGGCAATGGACATGTGTCTTTGATTTTCAGAGGAGTTGGGTTGTAGTCAGTGTGGAATTTTTGGCGATTTTTTTTTATCTGTTCTGTATTATTTAACTTTTTTGTATCAAATGAAAATGTATTGAAGTATAACTTATTAAATTTCTTTTTCAGCAAAAACTAGATATAAGAGAAGAAAGTCCAGATCAAACAGCCATACGAATTTTCACTACTCTTCGTGTGTTGAAGTACAAGCCTCCAAATGAGTAAGTAGAATGAAAGTTTGAAATTAGAAAGGTCCACTCAGAGACAGTATTGACACCAAGGAAAGACATTTTGTAAAACAAGTCAGGTTATATGCATCGGCTATATTTTGTTTCTATACTGTATTTGATTGTTTGTGATGTTGGGTTACTGTCTCATAGACATATACCTATAACTTCCTTTATTCATGAAACCACCAATAAAAGAAAAACAATCCATTATTTCTGCTGTTTCAAAAAGTCAATACTTCATGTTCAATTGTATGAATCACTTTGTGAAACTTGACCACTTGTGAGTTTGTAATATTTCAATAATCATTCCTCATATGGTGTTGCAATATTTATACCTCCGCTCTGAATTAAGTATACTGTTTTACCTCTATCTTTCAGTTCGATTTTTTTGCTATACCGTGTCACATTTAGTACTAGACATTAGTATCTTTACTATATGGCTTTAGCAATTGGTTGAGCATTAAGCTTTGAAGTGAACCATTATATATGTAAATATATGAATATAAATGATTGATATATTTTATTTTTATTTTTATAATAGTGATGTGTAAGTATTGTTTGTGAAGTTTTGCTGTGATGTAGAAATCTGCTAGTTGACTGTTTTTATCTTACTAATAAATCTATGTAGTGTTTTCCCTGTTAAAAGAACTTTTAAGTTACTGTCATAAATAACTCTAGTGTCTAGTAGTGAAAATGGTATCACCATAAAAATAAAATCAAATGTTTTTTTTACATTCACAAACTTAAATTCACAGAAACATAATAATGGAGGTGATAAGGACATACTTTGGCCTAACTTTTTGTCTGAGAAATCTGCCTTTCAAATGAAGACTACAATTTTTTATTTTTAAAATTACTTCACAACTGATGACATTATAAAAAGACCACATTTGAATGAAGAGTCATTTTCGTTGCATTTTCTTCCTGATTTGCAATTTTTATTTGTAGTGTATTTTAAAATATATAAGTGAAATAACATGCTTTTTGATTGACATTTTTTCTGTCAAGTCACTTACTGTAACACACCAATGGGAAAACACTATTGTAAGTTACTCTTGATTCTCTTTGCTCTGTGCAACTAATTGCATGTACTTTGTGTGTGGATAGAGTTTTGCTTTCATTTCTCAAGGAGCAACCTGTTTTAAAACCCTTAACAAAAATTCAGTATTTTTCATGCATGTCAATTCTTTTTCTTTTTGGTGTTAGAAATATTTAGATCTTGCCTATTTTGGTCTATTATTAAAAGAAATGTTTTCTTAAATTTTATTATATCTGTGAGAAACATGGGAATATTGTTGATTCTATGAGAAATGTTTAAATGAGAAGAGAATTCTTTATATGTATTATAAGTAACGCATACCGTTATTTCTAACTTAAAAAAATATAAAGAACTGAAATTATTAGAAAGCATACATTTTGTAGTTTTCCACTTAGATGAACACAATACAATTATGATGATAAACACATATTTCAGCTACAAGACAAACACATACGCAAATAATAAATGGTAAAGAAAGTGACAGGAATGTGAAATAAGAGCCTTAATAATGTTAATCATGTTGATAGTGAGATTACAACTAAATTTAGGTAAACGAAAACTTTATATTTATACAAAAATGATTACAGTACATTTTTTTCCTTAGCTTAAATGTCTACAAATTTAGAGAGATGATGGTGATCTCATATGCAAATAGCAATACATTTTATTTAAAAGTATGCTTAATACACATGCTTATTCTTGTATTTATCAATTTGTATCAGAAATAAACAACTTTCAAAGATTGTCTTCCTATAGGTCCACATTTAGAGCTGGATTGGTTCAAGGAGATAAACTGGTAATTTACCCAATTTTAGAATGGCTGTTGACAAGGGTACCAGATTTGCAAAAGAGAGCTTATTTAGCTCGTTTTCTAGTAAAAATAGATGTCCCGTCAGAGATAATGGCTGACGAAGGTATCCCAGATTTGTATGCTCAGGTAATTTTGCAATATTAATGTGATATAATTTATATAGTAGAAAAAAACTTGATTAAAATACCTAGTCATTGTGACACAATTTTATTTTATTGCTGATTAATCAACGGAACGTCTACATCCTGTCTCTGCATGTGTGAATGTTTGTGTTCATTCTCACAATTTCCTTATTTACTCATGTCAGGCCTTCTGTGATGGCTCTCATCACTCTTCTTGTGTTCTTGTAAAATAACCATGAGAAAATTTAAACCAGACATATAACTAATTTTTTTTACCATTCAATAAGTTTACAATAAACTTTACTAGCTAACTATATGAACCATACAGAATAGACAAAAGAATACTTTATTTTGAAGACTCCAAAAACTAAACATGTACCATAAAATTACCTGACATATTTACCATGTTTCAATCAAACAGTGTCCAATTTGCAGTGGTAATATTTAGTTTGTGAGATGAAATCACTCATGTAATTTGGTATATTTGTCAGTTACAACACTTAAATTTGAAGATTTTACAATAAGACTCCTTGAGATCCTGACCAAGTTCTAATTTAAGACTTTATATTTCACAGAATTTCTGTTAAAATTTAAAAAAAAATGTATTTAACTGAAAGTTTAATCCATGTATTTTCTTTGATGTTATTTATAGTATGAAGAACTTATGGATCAGTTCAAAGATTTACATAAACAAGCAGAAAAATTGAGGAGTTCTGGATTCAATACTGGTGAAATTAGAAAAGATATATCTAATATGGAGGATGAGAAAGAACAATTGAATAAAAGGATAGAAAGATTGAAAAGAAAGGTAAAGTGAATCAATACAGTAGTTCATAAAGTCTGATGAAAGTAAATTCATATGAGTAGTTATTGCAATTGTAAAAAAACATGTAATTTGAAGTGATTTGTGTGTAATTTGACAAATTACATGCTATTTCCTTATTAGAATTTTAAATCCATTTCAAGAATTCAATGTTTTACTTCAGTGTTGATATTAAACATAAAACCTCAGCTCGATGCAATATTGTCTTTTTGTGCCGATGAGGTGTAAAGCAATCACCAATCAATCAATCATTACCTCTGCACACAAAGTTTGGGATTTATTTAGTATGCATTCCATACTCTCAACCTTTGCTCAATAGTTCACATGAATAATGATTGAACAATGTTAGATAGCAAGGTCATTGTTCAAATAGTAACATCTTCTGAAAGAGCTACTTAATTTTTGAATGGAGAACTGCAGTTCAGAAATCTCACAAATTTTCAATTAATTATATAAAAAATAATCTCTTTGTTATTTAAAAATGTAACACTTCATGAATTTTAAACTGAAGTTTATGAGATATGCATAATATGGTTTGTCTTCTTCCTTGTCGTGTACATGTTGAACCAATAAAATGTAACTTAATAATTTTAGCAGCTCATTTCCAACCAGTATAGTTTTGTAGTTATTTTTAGCCTGATTAATGAAGAAACATTTGTTTTTATGCCCCCGCCGTAGCGGAGGGGGCATTAAGTTTTACCCTTGTCCGTCTGTACGTACGTACGTACGTACGTACGTACGTCCCGAAATTGGTTTCCGTTCTCTAACTTGAGTTTGCCTCAACCAAATGTTATGAAACTTATACACAATGCTTATTACCACAAAACACAGATCAAGTTTGAATTTTGGTGGCGTCACTTTAACCGATCTAGAGTTATGCCCCTTTATAAAAGGAAATATTGCAAAATTTTTAGTTTCCGTTCTCTAACTTAAGTTTGCCTCAACCAAATGTTATGAAACTTATACACAATGCTTATTACCACAAAACACAGATCAAGTTTGAATTTTGGTGGTGTCACTTTAACCGATCTAGAGTTATGCCCCTTTATAAAAGGAAAAATTGCAAAATTTTTATTTTCTTCTAAATATCAAGTTTATATAATATATTTTTAAAATTGGAGTTATCTTCCTTTGACCATGATTATAGTTGAATCAACTACAATCAATGCTTTATACAATGCAATGTTTAATTTTGACTTCCACTGATAAAACACAGATCAAGTTGAATTTGGGTAGTGTCACTTTAACCATTATTGAGTTATGCCCCTTTATAAATAGAAAGATTGCAAATTTTTTTAGTTTCCATTCTGTAACTGAAGTTTTCCCCAGCCAAACATTATGAAACCTATACACAATATTCATTACCACAAAACTCAGTAAGGATCAAGTACATTTTTTTTGTTTCAGTTCTCTAACTTGAGTTTGCCTCAACCAAATGTTATGAAACTTATACACAATGCTTATTACTACATAATACAGATTAAGTACGAAATTAGGTGGCAACACTTTTACCATTCTAGAGTTATGTCCCTTTATAAACATAAAAATTGCTGAATTTTTTAGTTTGTCTCAATCAAATGTTGTAAAACTTATACACAACCGTTCTAGAGTTATGCGTGTTTACAAATAGAAAAATTGCTGAATTTTTAGTTTCTGTTCTCTACTTAAGTTAGCCTCAACCAAATGTTATGAGACTTACACAAAATGCTTATTACCACAAAACTCAGATCAAGTTCAAATTTGGGTAGCGTCACTTTTACCGTTCTTCAGTTATGTCCCTTTTTAACTATATGATATGCAAGCGGGGGCATCATCTGTGTCCACATGTGGACACTATCCACATTTATTTATTTTATTTGTAGGTAGAATCTCATCCAAACTCTCAAACAATGATGAATGTAGCCAGGAATTTAAGACTTGAGAGAGACAAAGAGAAGAAGCTTGCTGAACAAAGACAAGAACAAGCAACATTGGTAACTATGTCAATGGAGAGCTGACTTCTCACAAAAAGTTTTGGATTTTAATGCAACTTTTGTGGACATTTCAAAACAGAAGCATAAATCATGCTGTTATCACATTTTCTGAAATTTTCATATATAGGTCACATCAATCAAATGATCAAGATATACGTAGTCCTTGCATATTATAGGTGCAAAATTATATTTTACTCAGAAGTCTATTAAATATCGTTATTACATTGGATGAAATGAATTACCGTGATTTGCCAGTGAAATAGAAACCTGTAATTTCACACATGTGAAATGAATATGATAATTTCACTCCTCTGAGGTCTTACAAAAATTGGTGTTGTCAAGATGTCAAAACAATTGAGAATGTGTAGAAAAAGATAAAGATAAAGTTCCTTTCATTTTCTACTTTATTTTTATTAAAAAGTCCATGCTCAATGTACAAATGTAATAAAAAGAACAACTAATCCAAGATTTAAAATATATGCTACAGGCATTTGTGAATTAATGTGTTTTTTGGTCACTGGTTGAATATTTTCGTATATTTGAATTCTTGGATTAGTTATTCTATAATGAACAAGAATATTTATTTTTGAAATGTAATATTAAAAGTTTATCCTAGTTGAAATATTAGAGTATAAACATGATAAAGAAAACCTCTCCTTATGTGATTACAGATTCAGCATGAAGAACAGAAAATCAGAAGACTTCAACAACAACTGCATGATCAGAGACAAACTAGTGTTGGGGCTAATCCGGACAGTATGTACAATTTAGTACTACCCTGATAGGTCAAATCCTTGATAACAAGAAATAAAATATTCACGTACAAAAAAAAAAATCTTTACAGATAATCTTCACTTGTTTATATAATATGTAGATACATTAACATATTTATTTTCACTTATTCTTTATGCATTTAAAGTGATTCTGACCAGTTCGAAAAATTTTGAAAAACCAAATGTTGATCAAATATCTCGTGTGTAATTTTCTCCCATATCCATTCAGTATATTGCTCTATGCATCTTCAATTGTATCAGAGAAATTGATTCTATCACTTTATCTTGTTGTCTACAATATTAATAGGCTCTATATTTTGAATTTGAACCTCACAGTTAAAAGTTAGAAATTTAAACTATCTCAAGTAGATAAATATTGTTTGGTAGAATCTATATGTCTAAGGTCAGTGGTAATAGTCTTGTTGAATTCAGACAAAAGGCATTTTTTAGGAGGGAATGGTTATGATTTAAACAAAGACATAAGTTTTCAAAAATAGGATTTTGGAAATAGTTTTGTCATAAATATGAAAGGCAAAAGTGATATTTGTAAATAATTCAATATATATTTATAGATTTAATATAATTGTAGGAAAGTAAATATTCAGGTTTATTCCATGAATAGTCATAATTTGTAGTTTTAATGCTTATTGAATATAAATGTTCCTGTCATTTTTTTATCAAAAATTTCTTGTAAATTAAGTGATGTAAAAATTTCTAAAGCAACTTTCACATTCATGCATTTTCTCCTAAATTTCTGATGTCACAATGCATATGCTATTATGTCACAGTAAGAGTAGATTGTTCAATGATGTCACTGAAGCTGATTGACCGTCCTGTAACTAATTCATAAATAACAACTTGAAATTGATCTATTGTAGCGCTTTTACAAAGACTTGAAGAAGAAACAAGGACCAATAAATACATTGTAACTGAAAGGTTACCAAAAGATATAACTGGACGTCGTAAAACTTTACAAGATTTACAGCGTGTAGTTGCTGAGCCAGCAATGGGGCATTCAGACTTGGATCAACTGAATTCACAGGTATTGTCACTTGAATTGATGGTATAAACACATTTTTTTCAATAGATATTTGGGAAGTCAAAATGTATTAATTATATGATGTTTTAAAGATATTCAAGAAATGATTACATACTTGTTTGTGATGTAAAAAAATGAAAATATGTTCCCTTGGTATTTTATCAATGACTATTATTTCCATGTGATTGAGGTTGTAATTTACTCAGCCAATGGGCAGTATTATATTCTGGCCTTTCTAATTTCCTTTTCCCCTTTTAACTAACTGCCAGGAAATTGTATGAATGTATTAAGAAAAATTAGATCATACCAAGAAAACAAATTCAAATGAAAGATGAAACGACCTTTTTACTGACACAGTCAGTAATAATTTTGGTTTGTGACCTATTTTTAAAGGACGCTTAACTATGGCAACGGCATTCATGATGTCACAAATTTTTACTCTGATTTCATATTTGTCACCTATTTTTTAATTAGAAATATTGAGAACATACAAGTACCACAAACATATTTGCGAGTCTCAAAACTATTTGAAAAATGAGCCAAATCTATGTATTTTGCAAGTCACAACTACAGTTATTATGATGTCATGGAGTGAAAACTACTCATTTCTAATTTTGCATTACCCCAACATTAAAACAGACATTAATTGAAACCTTAGATAAAAAGTTCATACACCCTGTCCTTTTGTTAAACTTTTTATAGTATCATATAATATTACAGATATCTGAGTTAAATTCAGAGATAAATCAGCTGATGGAAAAGAGAATGTTAGCTAGCCGTGACCCAGATGATAAATCTAATCTCTTTAGACAACAGGTATGTACTTATATTATAAATTAAGCAATTTTTTCTAATTTGCATTTTATATCCAGTCAAACTAAGGTAATTTGGAAAATTGGATTTGGTATATATAACAATTCCTAACTAAAACAGTGAAACAAGTCAAAAGACTTTGAACTTATTTCAGAAGTTATACTGAATGTTCTACAATTTGAACATACATTTTGCCCAATAGATTTCAATTGATATAGGTTATTTAGTATTTATGTGTATTTCTTATGGCACAAATAAAGAATATTGCCACATTTTCATAAGTGTTTTACCTTGATGATGAATTGTCACACAAATGAGACTCTCATTTTTAGCTCACCTTTCCAAAGGAAATGTGAGCTTTTGCCATCACTTGGCGTCCGTCGTCATCCTCCGTCCGGTGTAAACTATTTCAAACATCTTCTCCTATGGAAACAACTGAACCAATTCCAACCAAACTTAAGCTGAATGATCCTTAGGGTATCTAGAATAAAGTTTGTGTTTTATTTTCTGTTTCGTCAAAAAACATGGCCGCCATGGCTAAAAATAGAACATAGGGGTAAAATGCAGTTTTTGGCTTATATCTCAAAAACTAAAGCATTAATAGCAAATCTGACATGGGTTGAAAATGTTCATTAGGTCAAGTTCTATCAGTCCTGAAATTTTCAGATGAATCTAATAACCCATTGTTGAGTTGCTGCCACTAAATTGGTAATTTTAAGGAAATTTTGCAGTTTTTATACGACCACAAAAAAATTTTGCGGTCGTATATTGGTATGACGTTGGCGTCGTCGTCCGAAGACACATTGGTTTTCGCACTCTAACTTTAGTTTAAGTGAATGGATCTCTATGAAATTTTACCATAAGGTTCAATACCACAAAAGGTAGGTTGGGATTGATTTTGGGGGTTATGGTACCAACAGCTAAGGAATTAGGGACCAAAAATAAGCATTTTTGTAACTTCCAGACATAACTTGTGTGTTAGTGTATGGATCTCTCTGACATTGTACCACAAGGTTCCATATCACAAAGGGAAGGCTGGGATTAATTTGGGGGGTAATTGCCTCAAAATTTTAGGAATTAGGGGCCAAAAAAGGGGCAAAAAACAAGCATTTTTCTAGTTTCATGACAATAACTTGTGTGTAAGTGTATGGATCTTTCTGAAATTGTACTACAAGGTTCCATATCACAAAGGGAAAGCTGGAATTGAGTTTGGGGGTAATTGCCCAAAACCTTAGGAATAAGGGGCCAAAAATAAGCATTTTTCTAGTTTCCAGACAACTTGTGTTCAAGTGTATGGATCTCACTGAAATTGTACTGCAAGGTACCATACCACAAAGGGAAGGCTGGGATTGATTTTGGGGGTAATTGCCTCAAAATTTTAGGAATTAGGGGCCAAAAAGGGACAAAAAACAAGCATTTTTATAGTTTCAGGACAATAACTTGTGTGTAAGTGTATGGATCTTTATGAAATTGTACTACAAGGGTCCATATCACAAAGGGAAAGCTGGGTTTGAGTTTGGGGGTAATTGCCCTAAATGTTTAGGAATTTGGGGCCAAAAGGGGCCAAAAAACAAGTTTTTTTTCCTTTTTTTTTCTTTAAAATCTTCCATTTTAAATTGGTTATTTCTGATTTAAATATAAAAGCAAATAATAATGATATGGTTTGAATAGGTAAATTAAAATTTTTTAAGTTCTTAGACCACATTCATTCTGTGTCAAAAACCTATGCTGTGTCAAATATTTAATCACAATCCAAATTCAGTGCTGTATCAAGCTTGAATGTTGTGTCCATACTTGCCCCAACTGTTCAGGGTTCGACCTCTGTGGTCATATCAAGCTGCGCCCAGCGGAGCATTTTATTGGTTATTATCTTGAATATTATTATAGATAAAGATAATCTGTAAACAGCAAAAATGTTCAGCAAAGTAAGATCTACAAATAAGTTTATATGACCAAAATTGTCAATTGACTCCTTAAGGAGTTATTGCCCTTTAAGGACAATTTTACACAATTTGTTTATCAAGTTTTCTAACTTTAAAAAATCTTTCTCTGAAACTACTGAACTAAATTAAACCAAACTTAAGCTGAATGATTCTTAGGTTATCTAGAATAAAGTTTGTGTTTTATTTTCTGTTTCCTCAGAAAACATGGCCGCCATGGCTAAAAATATAACATAGGGTAAAATGCAGTTTTTGACTTATATCTCAAAAACTAAAGCATTTAGAGCAAATCAGACAGAAGTTAAGTATTCATTAGGTCAAGGTCTACCTGCCCTGAAATTATCAGCCAAATCGGGTTTCTGGTTTTTAGGTTATTGCCCCTAAATTGATGATTTTAAGGAAATTTTGCAGTTTTCGGTTATTATCTTAAATATTATTATAGATAAAGATAAACTGTAAACAGCAAAAATGTTCAGCAAAGTAAGATCTACAAATAAGTTTTTATATGACCAAAATTGTCAATTGACCCCTTAAGGAGTTATTGTCCTTTAAAGACAATTTTTCACAATTTGTTCATCTAGTTTGCTTACTTTAAAAAATCTTCTCCTTTGAAACTGCTGAATCTATTTCAGCCAAACTTGGGCTGAATGAGTTTCAGAGTATCTAGTATAAATTTTGTATTTTATTTCCTTGTACGTCAAGAAACATAGACACTATGGCTAGAATGGAACATAGGGGTAAAATGCATTTTTTTGCTTTTGAAGAAAATATGACAGATACAAAGAACATTTAAATGGCATTTTTAAGCCACTCATTAATATATATTGAAAAGAAAAAATAATCATTGATGAAAGATTTAAGCAAAAAATTACATGTGAGCGATTCAGGCTCTTGAGAGCCTCTTGTTCATTGAACAGTTACTTAGTAAATAGTCTTTTTTCGCCTTGTCAGTGTAAGAAGTTTTCTAATTCCTAGATTTAAATTTGTCATGAGATTTCTTTCTCAGTGATAGGAGAATAAGTATAAAAAAATGCTTTTCTGACTTTTAAGTTTAAAGATATAAGAGCTGTGAACTATGTTTCGTGTATATAACAAGAGATAGCTATTGCAGCTTATTCTTATATCATAGATTACAAATTAATTGGATTTTTCTCAGATATTGAGTACTTTCCTTATTTTCTAGGCTTCTATCATTGCTCACAAGAAGGAAGCTGCAGTGGAGACTTACAGGGGACTAAGAGATGAGTATAATCATATTCAGCAGGAAATTGAACAGAAGAGAGACATGATTAAGGAACAGGGTGGTGGAGAAGTACTCAAAGGGGAAGATGTAAGTATACATTTACATGGTGGTGGAGAGGTACTCAAAGGGGAGGATGTAAGTATACATTTACATGGTGGTGGAGAGGTACTCAAAGGGGAGGATGTAAGTATACATCTACAGGGTGGTGGAGAGGTACTCAAAGGGGAAGATGTAAGTATACATTTACATGGTGGTGGAGAGGTACTCAAAGGGGAAAATAAGTATATATCTACAGAGAAGTACTCAAAGGGGAAAGTATAAGTATATATCTCTGGAGAAGTACTCAAAGGGGAAGATGTAGGTATACATCTACATGGTGGTGGAGAGGTACTTAAAGGGGAAGATGTAAGTATACATCTACATGGTGGTGGAAAGGTACTCAAAGGGGGAGATGTAAGTATACATCTACAGGGTAATACGGTTTTTTGTCTCGCCTGCAACGAAAGTAGCAGTATGCGAGACATAGGTATTACTATCAGGCGGCGGTGTAAACTTTTTGTATAAGGCTTTATATTTCAGAAGGTAGAAGACTTGGATGCTTCAAACCTTGTATGCAGATACCTTATGTTACGAAGTTTCCGTCTGTCATATGTCCATTCTCCTTGACCTCATTTGTATGGTTCAGCGACTGCTTGAAAAAAAGTTACAGTTTTATTGTCATGTCAATTTCTCACTTATTATGTGTAGTAGGATAACGATATTTTGTATATGGGTTCCTTGCAACGTCTACATGTCAGTCAGACAGGGTTCACCTGACCTCAACCTCATTTCATGGATCAGTGATCAAGGTTAAAGTTACGTGACTAGGTCTGTTTCTCAGATACTGTAAGCAGTAGGTCAACTATATGTGGTGTATGGAATGATTGTAAGGTGTACATGTCAGTCTGGCAGATTTCATTTGACCTTGACCTCATTTTCATGGTTCATTGGTCAATATTAAGTTTTTGTGTTTAGTCTGTTTTTCCAGTACTTCAAGCAATAGGTCAACTATATTTGGTGAACATGTTGGTCTAGTTGGTATCATCTGACCTTGACCTCATTTTCATGGTTCATTGGTCAATGTTAGGTTTTCGTGTTTTGGTTGGTTTTCCAAATACTAATAGCAAAAGGTCAGCTATGTTTGGTGTATGGAACAATTGTGAGGTGTACATGTCTGTCTGGCAGGTATTATCGGACCTTGACTGCATTTCATGGTTCATTGGTCAATGATAAGTTTTCGTAATTTTGTCAGTTTATCAGATACTATAAGCAACAGGTCAACTATATTTGGTGTATGGAATGATTGTAAGGTGTACATGTCTGTCTGGCCTGGTTCATCTGACCATGACCTCATTATCATAGAACATTGATAATGTTAAGTTTATGTGATACTTGTAGTAAAAGCTCATCTTACAGACTTTCAACATAAATTCAATGATAAGTAAAACAGGTGGGACATTTCAGCGTGTGCACTCTTGTTTTATCATGTTTTATATCGAAGTCTTATTATGAATGGTTTTAAGGAATGCATGAACACAGGGTATTGATGCAGGATTAATAAAATTCTAAGTGCATTTTTTTTTTCAAATTTGATTTGAATACCACCTACAATTTATATATTGTACCAAATCAGTTAGGATGAAAAATGTCTTCTACCCTCATGTACTGTTGTTTTTTGGACATTGACTTTAATCACTGTTTAATTGAAGTATTTTGATTTTAGTTCAAGAGGTATGTTAACAAGTTGAGGAGTAAAAGTACTATTTACAAGAAGAAAAGACAAGAAATAGCAGAAATACGAGCTGAAGTTGGTGTGCTATCAAGAACAGAGGAAATATTAAGACAGAGGGATGAAAATATGAACATGCAATTGGTATGCTATAAGATAATTTCAATATATAAATTTGTCCTGTTTGTGTAGTATTGTCATTTCCAGAAGAATTGGTTGTTATTAAAACTTTGAAAATATGTTTGTACAGATAATTTTGAATGTTTAAATAACTATAAATAGTATGAATGATTACCACACTTTAAATTATCTGTACAAACATTAGATTTCAAGTCATCTTTCGAGAGAATAACTTACAACCAAATTGATAATCTTTTGGTTACAATAGGCCTATTGTGGAAAGACAGAGATGCTTACAACATAACCAGATCTATTCATCAAAAGAAGAAATATACTTTGTGCAGTGTTACCTTTACTTGAAACCAAAGTAGTGAAATATATATAAACTGAAGAAAACAAGTTAAGGATCACCAAGACATAAATTCCATTGCAATTGCTTTAAGATTTCCAACAAGAAATTTTTCTTCAAGTCAAGGTTGTTTAAAATTACAGCTGGATACATTGTTATCTTTGATTAAGGAGGATAAACTTGAACGTGATGGAAAAATCTATGATGTTGACACTGTTCATGCTGTAAGTGATGTCCTTTCTGGGAAAAATGCATGTGTTTAAAATCTGATTTTTTGCCTCTAAAACTTGATCTGGCCTGGAAAATGTTCTGATTTAAGGCTGATTCTGATAACAAAGGATCTCTGTCTGAAATGGAAGTTCAAAACTTAAGATAAAAGGTATAGTGGTAAAATTACATACATGTCTCACCTCATTTTCAAGAACTGGCGATTAAAATACTATTACATTATTTCAAATGGAAATGAACCTTAAATTATTATGTGCAGTATACACTGTGCTTCATGCACCTCTTGTTTCATTATTTTAGTCTGCCTTAGAGAACAAAAAAGGTGTAGCCGGCTACAGACAGACACAGGAAGATTTAGAGAAAGTGTCGTCAGTGAAGAGTGAATATGATGATAGGAAAGGCAAAACCTTGGAGGATATGTCTGATATGGTTACCAGAATGAATAGAAAAATAGCTGAGAAAAAGGGAGCTTTGGCACCAATCATAAAGGAACTAAGACCACTTAGACAGAGGAATACGGTAGGTTTGGATTTTTGTGGAGCCTGCAACATTTATGTCGCGAAAGGGAGACACAGCAATCATAGATTCAGTCAGTGGCGTCAACATTTAGTTTCAGTCTGAGGTTAAAGTTTTTCAGTCATCAATAACTTTGTAAAACCTTCATGGAATTTTATGAAATTTGGACAGAGCTTGTTAATGACCAAAATACAGTATCCAGAGCAAAATTTTGAAGATGTTTATTTTCATTTTTCCTTATTTTACTGATAAATGGATTAGATTTTTTTTACAGTTAACAAGTAGATACAGTCTGGGGTTACACATCAATTACTTTGTCAAACCTTCATACATGAAGTATTTTATGAAATTTTAGCATAAGCTTTTTTATGATTAAGAGATAATGTCTTTAGAAAACTTTTGAAAATATATTTTTTTCATTTTCAGTTTTTTTCTGATAGATGGACTTAAGTTTTTTTTCAGTTGTTTACAGTTAACATTTACAGATAGTCTGGGATTAAATTTTTTTGACATGATAAATTTGTAAACCTTCATGGATTGTTATGAAACTTGGACAGAAGCTAATCTTCAAGACCAAGAAATAGCATCTAAAGAAAAAGTTTGAATTTTTTTTTTAATTCTGTATTTTACTGATAAATGGACTCACTATTTAAGTCATCATTACACTTTTTACACTGACAGCAGCAATCACAGGTGAGACACAGGGTCATGGAACTCCTTACAAATTTTTGATAAAAGAATTTACAAAATTTTAAAACAATCTTTTGTTAGTTTTTAAACACATGATTGTTGATTTGAAATGTTATAGTACAAGTTCACATTTCACCAGTAAATGTGAAACTGCAGAAATGGAAACTGGTGTATTAAAAAAACTATTATTGATAATTACAAAAGTTGTTGGATCTTTATTTGATGATTTCATGCTGTTGATTTATATATTGAAATTTGTTAGATATTCATCAGATACCAATTTTCAAGTATTGTTAAAACTGGTAGGGGAAACCACAAAATTAAGTACCCAATATGTGGAAAATTTTCTTCAACCACAAATACCAACAAAAATAAGTCATTAAGTGAATCATTAGTAACTAGCTAAAGTTTGAATTAGTCTCATGGATTTTTATTCAATTTATTTGAGAATTTCATTATATAAGTCAAAGCTCTAAACCAAATGAAATATTTCCTGACAAAATAGGATTTTAGTCAATCAAATTTCTGAGTAGCTTGTTTCAGCATTACAAAATGAGAATGAAGAAGTGATTAATTTTAATATGTGATTTCTTTTTCTAGGAATTAACAGCAATTTTTGAAGAGAAGAAACATTCGTATGAAACTGCAAATGCAGGACTAGAGAGTAATATGGCAAAACTAGAACAGGTAATTTGTTGTGGACATATTACTTGATTATTAAATAACGATTATGATGATTAATTGATTTTGTCCAAAGTTCAAGTTCAGCTGTAATCTATTACCAACTTTGTATTTTCATATCCATACCAGACATTGGTCGTGAAATTATTGTAATGTATATTTTTCCAACTTCTTGTTGCACGAACTTTGTGATTGAATTTTACAAAAAATGAGGCGAAAGACACCCAATTTTTATTTGATCATCTGGTAGTTTAATGTCAATAGTTTCAGAAAAGGTATCACTCAAAGGCATTGAAATTCTAGTTTGAACCAAATTTGGGGGAATATGTGACATTTTCATGCCCCTTTTTGCAATATTTTTGGTAAATAAATGCAGAATGTTGCCATGGATACACAAAAAAGAAATTATATTTCACCATTTTAACCTTTGAAAATCAGATCTATGGAAGATACTGATTACATACATATGCACATGTATGACACAAACAGTTGGCTTAATGCATTAGAAAGCCAGGAATAGAAGATGAATAAACATTTTGTTGTTCAATTTTAATTTTATTTTCTAACTGTGGAGTGCTATCTAAGTATACTCTTAAATCCTGATATGGAACTATTGTAGGATGTACAAGCATTTGATACAACATCAAATAAGCACTAGAAAAAAGTCCAAATTTATATTATCCACTTCTTTGATTCCCAGTATTTTAGTCACTCGCTTACTTAAACTTCAATCCAGGATGTGGGGGAATTAGTCCAGCTTAGTGGACAGTTCAAGTTATTTGTTCAGATGAGGTAAGCAAAGGAATGGAAAAATGACAGTACCACTATCTTAATTGTATGTTTATTTATTTGTTTTCAGGAGGTCAGAGGTTATCATGAGGAATGTAAACAGGAAGAATCTCGTTACCACTACCTGAATTGTATGATCAGAATGATAGAAATGCAACAACAGAAAGTAGCTGATGAAATGAAAGCTTATACTTCGTCTGATCCTTATACAAGGAAGAAAACTTTCAGGTAACAAACAGTAAAAGGAGTAGAGTCAGTAAATGCCTCAGTAAAGATGTTTTTTTTAAACTTGAATTGTTTTAGTAAATCTGATGTGTATGTATTGCTAAATGTTATATTTTTGAAAGTATAATAAGAACAATTGTATATCTGCTTCACATTTATTAAAATATATTAGCCTGAAATAGGAATAGATTTAATTTAATTCCATTTTCTAGAAATTTGTCACCTTTTTTAACCTTTTTTCATGATTTCATAAGTGGCGCCACCCCTGGCCCATAGAATTTTGGTTGAAAAGTAAAGAATATGGTATATAAAAGAATATTTCAGTAAAAATTTATATTGGTGGGGTCACTGTTAACTTTCAGAAAACTGTCATAAATGTTGCCAAATTATGCCAAAAAACAGTTTTCATGAAATTCACCTATATTTATGACATCACTAATGACGCAATTGGTGAAAATCTTCACAATATTATAGCAGTTAAAATTTGTCAGATTTTTAGAGCCAAAACTATGAGTTAGTGAACCAAATCCTTTGTCATTTTTGGTTTTGATCACTGGTCTTGAGTATGTATGGAACCTATAGATTTCCCATAACATTTTGTTAGAATCAACCTCTAGTCAGACAGTTTGACTCAGACCAGACCTGATACGTGTTATTTATATATGAACACTATCATAGCCAAAAAAGATACCATTTTAAAAATTTCAAAGTTTGAGGGAAAGAGTCAAATTAGTAACAGTAGAACCTACTTGTGTCAAACTTGGTTGTGTTTTAAACTTGGATAAGTTGATGTTTTTTGTCAGTTATTGGTAAAGTTTTTGTTTGCACAATGTATTTTTTTATGTGATGAGTCGTACCCGATTGATTCAAAATCTCCAATAACTGGAGTATATTTTGAAGTCCCCTCGAAGAAAAATGAACATTAATTACCATGCTGAAACTGAAAGTGAACATAAAGCTTACAACACCATGCTGAATTCTTTTCAGATAATGTATAATTAGCGTATATTTACATACATATGCAAATGAGCTATACCTTGCTGCTGATGGTTAATGATGGTTATAAAGCTATGATAGGTGATCACAGGGGTAGTGAGGGAAGAGGTGGGGTTGGTGGGCATAATTCTGCCCAAATGTCAATTTTGACAATTTTTCGTCCTATTTCTTAACCTACATGACCAAGGGATGCTGATAGTTGCAGCTTACTGTAGCCTTTATAGAGAGTGGAAATAAATGAACACATGAACCACAGTAATATTTAAGTCTGATAGAAACTGGGTTTCGCATGACAGTCTAAGAAAGACTATTTCTACCAAAAATCAAAACTTTCCCACATTCTTTCCTATTTTTGACTTCACTTGGACCTGCAACTGGCGGTATCATTCCCAAATCATATTTAAATTATAATCATGGCTAGTAGTTTATACTGTTTTTGGAATCTGATGAACTTAAGAATTAAAAGCCTTTAAGTTTGAGGGGACATGAATTTCTTATCAAAATTAAACAGCTAACCCCTGAAAGTATGGTAAAAAGAGCCAATGCAACCAAAGAAGGAGATTTAGGGTAGAGGTTAATTATATTAAGGCCCCTCATGGGAAGGGTTACAAAGTTGATGAAAGTAAGTACATTTTGATGTTTGTTTTTCAACTAAATCATATTTATAACAATTAAGAATTATCGTTTTTGTAAACTTTCATGAAGTTTCTTACTTAAAATGATTATTTAGGTCTAAAAGGGTGTTATATGAACAAGGTTAACTTTATAATTATAAATTCCTTCGTTTTTTTAAAGTAAATTGTTGATAAATGACATGAAACAAACCAGTCGGTATTTTTCCTGTAACATTTATTGTCTTGAATAACAAATTATGTTGAATAGAGTTAAGATCAGTATAATCGATGTTCTAAATATTGGAAGTATTTGTTCTTTAGAGAGTTATATCAGAGAAAAGTTCAGGAGCAAGAAAATCTTGGTAAAGGCCTGAGAGAACAGCAGAAAACTGTCAGGGAAAGTCATGGTCCAAGTATGACACAGATGAAAATGTGGAAAGACTTAGAGCGACTAATGGAATGTAAACGACAGTGTATGGAGCGTAATGCTGGAATGACTGCCCAAGGAATATCTAGTTATGGTGAAGCACCTCCAGCTGTTTTAGAAGATGACCGTTTAGTTCTGTGATATAACATTATTGATTATTTATTTTTTTATGTCTGTATTGTTGTAAAGCAACATTCCATTCAACTGTATTCCGTCCAATAAATATGGTATACTTTGAAGAATTATTATTTCAATAGCCCACACTCTACAGTATTCAGACACAAATATCAGAAGCAGTGATTTTGCCAGTGCCTGTCAATTTCACCATTTTCAAAATGAGGAGACAGTAACATAAAAGAGAAAAAAAATGTACGCAAAGCTACAATTTTACCTGGCGACATATTTATGACAAGTTTACAACCCCAAGCTAGTTAATGGCAACAACTGGTGTCATGATTTGTCCGTTTATCCCATGGGTCATAATGATCCTCAAACTAATATTCTTTTGTAATTAGAACAAGTCTTCAATTTTAATTCTTTATTTTTTAGGCAATTTTTCTCCTTTCTTTATTTATTTTGCAAATTATTGTCTAACCTTTATATATTAGCACCCAATTATTATCTATTCTTTTTTTACACATTTTCTCAATTCTGTAAACCATATATATCCAGAACTCAGCTGAAGAGGACAGGAACATTTACTCTTACTACTGTGGATTCATTATTATTCGTTGGACACCCAATTTTTGTGGAGTTCGTGGGTACTGGTGAACCACGAAATTAAATGTTCAACGAATAACAAATTTTCTATAGGCTTGTATGCAGACTTTGCGAAAACCACGAAATTAAATATCCACAAACATGTAAGTTTTCCTTAATCCACGAAAATTGGTACCCACGAAAATAAATGAATCCACAGTATTTAGATCAATCGTGTATTGTCTAGTGATTTGACTCAGATCAAACATACTTACTGTTTGATGTCATATGCATCGTTTTTTAAGCATAACAGCTGTTTTGTTTTAATCTTTATTGAGGAATGAGCTGTCAAATTGACAGCAAACTGGGTTTTCTGTATTTTGAAATGCACTTTCAGGCTTTTTTGACCTGTCACATTCTATGCCCTTTTTCCAATCTATCAAGAACCACAAGTCCTGAACGGAAAAAACGAAAATCACCAATTTATAACTTGACCAGTAACAGCATATAGAATTATTAAGAACATTGGTTGAGCAGTACATAAGTAATTGCATGGAAACGACATAAATTGCCATTTTTCAATCTATCAAGAACCATAACTCATTGACGGCAAAAGTCAAAATCATCAATAACTAACTTGAGTTTCATTTTATCATCAGTAACAACATACATGTATTTAAATTCTAAAAGTATTGGTCAAGTGGTTCATAAGTAATCGCAAGAAAACGACATGAAGTGCCACTTGCCAATAGATCAAGGACCATAACTCCTTAAAGGTAAAAGTGTAAATGGTCAATCTCGAAATTGACCTCAGTAACAATATATTATAATTTGAAAACCATTTGTAGAAGGGTTCATAAGTTATTGAACAGAAACGACAAAGTGCCATTTTCCAATATATCATGGACCATAACTCCTGAACTGTAAAAGGAAAATCGTCAATATTGCAATTGACCTCCAGTTTGTCATTTATTTAGTATCAACATATTAAATATGACTTGCATTGGTTGAATGGTTCATAAGTAATTGCACGGAAACTGTTAGCTGCTGCCTGCCCGCTGTAATTCACCAAATTAATAACTGATGTTCTCCTTTGGAAAACCCAGTTAAAAAGCAAAAGATAACATATTAAACATGTTTTTTGCATGTATTTAAGTCCTTGCAATAACTGCCTTAGTCTTATGCTGATGGTAAACAGAAAGTGGGTGTTTTTACAGATTCAAAAGGTGGTCAAACATTACTACTCATCACTATTAAGCTGCTGACTAAATATGAAGCCATTTTGTTTGGTAGTACATGAGAAAATATCTGTTGGACAAATGGAGGGATGGAAGGACTGAAGTACGTACAAGGCGAATGCAAAATGGCCCTCACTCCTAGAGCAGGGGTCTATTTTATAAAGGAAGAAGTTAAATCATAAGTCGAAGCAAGACAACACCATGATCAAATATAAGAAGACGAAAGATGAACTACATTTCACAAAACAGTTCACAGAAAACTGGATTAAAGCGTGGATGAAGAAAGGTGCTCAGGAGAGAAAGGCAAGCAGTCCCTTCTCAATAAGTGGTGCCGCATGTTGCTTATGTCATGTTAAAATGCAGTGACCAGTAAAGTTTTGGTAATACTAGTAGTCAAACAATTTCCAAAGACAGTAACCCTAACCCTAACCCTAAGACAAATGGAACTTATCCATGGTCATCTGTGATATAGATACTTCAATACATAATGACTACCATAAAACTTTCGAAGAGATTACTTCAAAGTTACCATTTAGATCCATAGGATCCACCAAAGAGGTCCTGAAAGGATTGATTGATTGATCGTTGGTTGCTTAACGTCCAGTTGCAAATATTTCATGCATGTTCAGGAAGATCCTGAAAGGAAAAACAATCCTTAAAATGTTGTATAAAATGCGAGATAAACCGATATATCTCATATGCAGATAATCAATATTTTTATCATACTTACCTATTTACAATTCATATCTCTGAAATTGACAGAACTGTAGTAAATTTGATTGAAAAAAGCAGACAAAAAATTTCACAGACAGCAAGAAAAGAAAATCTGACTGAAAATAAAGATTAAGATATTCATGGCTATCCAAACATAAAGTATTGTTTGCTTTATATTGATTCACAATTACCATTTTTAGAGCTATTCGAAGCTTACATAACTAGAGCTTTCCGCATAGTGGGACTACTAACCCCCTTTCATGCAGTTACTACTGTGAAATTCAATATTGAGGCAATGACGTTTTGAGATTTTTGGCTTTCAGCTATTCATTTCATATAGTCATTGCCTCTGTGTTAGATTGACAAATGGTTACTGATAGGTCAATCTGAAAGAATTATACTGACCCTGGAACAAAGTCTGACGTTCTTATTCTGTTAATTCAGAAAATAAAGGTCAAGGTCAGTAAGATGATTCTACATACCAAGTTTTGTCAATCTAAATATTACGGTACAAAAGTTGTGCACCAAACACAATCAGTCAGACAATGCTTTACTATCATAGGGGTCAAAGGTCAAATTCATGGTCAGAGTGACCTGACTTTGATATACATGTATAACAAACCCCATCCCAAGATGTATCAGCATATCAAGTTTGGTCAACCTATGTTCTATGGAACAAAAGTTATAAGTAGGACACAAATAAGACAAGGTTTAACTATCATAGGGGTCAAAGGTCATAGTGACCTGACTGTTATATGACACACCCCAAGCCCATGTTGCAACTGCATACCAAGTTTCGTAAACCTAAGTTTTAAAGTAAAAAGTTATGAGCCGGAAACAAATTGGACAAGGTTTTACTATCATAGTGGTCAAAGTCAAGGTCAGAGTGATCTAACTTTAGTAAATGACCCACCCCAAGCCTATGATGCAACTGCATACCAAGTTTGATTAACCTAAGCTTTAAAGCACAAAAGTTATGAGCCGGACACGAATTGAATATGGTTTTACTATCATAAAGGACAAATAAATTCAGGGTCACGAATTGAATAAGGTTCTACTATCATAAAGGCCAAAGTCATACTTTTGCCTTTATGACACATCCCCCAGCAAGTTTGGTTATCCTAAGTTTTACGGTACAACAGTTATGCACGGGACAAGAATTGGATAAGGTTTTACTCTCATAGGGGTCAATGTCAAGGTCAGAGCATACTTACTTTGGTTATTTTAAGTTTTACGGTACACAAGTTATTCACCGGACACAAATTAGCCAATGATTTACTATCATAGTGGTCAAAGTTCAAAGTCAAGGTCAGAGTGACATGACTTTGGTATATGGCCCATCCCAAGCCCATGATGCAACTGCATACTAAATTTGGTTATCCTAAGTTTTACAGCACAACAGTTAAGCACTGGACAAGAATTGGACAAGGTTTTCCTACCATAGGGGTCAAAGGTCGAATACAAGGTCAGAGTGACCTGACTTTGGTATGTGACACATCCCCAGCCCATGATGCAACTTCATACCAAGTTTTACGAAACAAAAATTATGCATCGGACACGAAGCGGTACGGACGGACAGACGGACATGGTGCTGCCTATACCCCCCCCCCCCCCCCCTCACACACTTTGTTTGCGGGGAGTATGCTAATTTTACAGAAGACTTCTGGTAATCTGTAAGTTTATGAAGTTGCTTCTAGATATACATTTCTGAAGTCGTTAAGGAGACTTTTATCTCACTGAAGTTGAGCAAATGTGTTTTATTCATATGAACAGTTATATCTCACAGCCAGTGTATACGAGTAATAATGTACTTGAAATTTGTCCTTTATGCCTTCAAACTTCTTGCATTTAAGACAAAACTGCATGTAAAAACTAAAACTTGGATTACTTTTTCATAAAAAATAAAAAATAAACAAAAATAACCCAAATATAATAGTTGATTCGAGGTGAAAACAGATTTTTGGGTAAGGCTGTTGTTACTCATACATAATTTAACGAACAAGTATTGCCATTTTGGTCAAATATTATGACATCACAAATACCATTACTAAACTTTTGTAATCCAAATTTATAATCAATAAAACCTACATAATTTTGCATGAAAAATGTCACTTTTTTTTCAATTTCAGCCGGTATAAACATTAACCCTTTTCATACATTCTCCATTCATACACAATATATGTATAAAGTACTGACATTTCACTCAAATCAATTTAAATTAAAGAAAAAAAAACCGGTAAAGCAACCTCTTTCATGTTATCGTTCCGTATCGTTAAACTCATAAATAGATTAAATTTATGTGTATACGACAACGAGACAGCAACCAAACCACAAAAAAGACATCTATAATTTGACAGCAATAGACAAGTGACTATACCCTATATCAGGCTACAAATCGCAAATTACAAGATATTATATAAAACAATAAATCATTAAATTATGGATCTCGGATGATCAAATGTATCAACCGTGGTCAAACATTGTGCAGATTAAACATATTAACCAGTGATTAAACGGTATCTTAATAACACCTGCAATTATTCTAAACCCTATTCCCACAATTAAGACTAAGAGAAAATTAAGTGATTATTAAGACTTTGTGTAGGATTTTTTTATTGTTTTCTTATAACACATGAGATTAAAGACGTTATCTCAGAGATTTCTGTTGTCCTATAACACCCCACATGAAATTTAGAAAGTCATCCCAGAGATTTCTGTTGTACTATAACACCCACATGAGATTAAGGAAGTTATCTCAGAGATTTCGGTGCCCTCTAAAACCCCACATGAGATTAAGGAAGTTATCTCAGAGATTTCTGTTGTCCTATAAAACCCCACATGAGATTAATGAAGTTATCTCGGAGATTTCTGTTGTCCTATAAAACCCCACATGAGATTAAGGAAGGTATCTCAGAGATTTCGGTGCCCTAGAAAACCCCACATGAGATTAAGGAAGTTATCTCAAAGATTTCTGTTGTTCTACAATACACTACATGAGAATAATGAAGTTATCTTGGAAATTTCTGTTGTCCTATAAAACCCTACATGAGATTAAGAAAACTATCTCGGAGATTTCTGTTGTCCTATAACACCCACATGAGATTAAGGAATTTATCTCAGAGATTTCTGTTTAACAAGGAGACCAACTGTAAACACAACAACTGAAATGAATTCACATCCGGCCATAAAAAGAAACGATGTTATATATGTTCCAGTCACGTCTCTAAGGTACCCTGAAATAAAATAAAAAAAAACAGTTAAGATGATTGATGTTGTCTGATTTTCAGCTTTTGCACATCCGTTTGTTTTCAATTGTAAAAAAAAGTTAGAATGTTTACATTTTCAGACAGAGCGCAATGTATCTATTCAGTGCTGCGGTATTGTATGGTTTACGATACTTTTTGTATGTTAATTTCCAGTTCATTACAGCTCTTTTCATAATGCTAGCAAGACAAAGGTTTGTTTGGATTGCTTGCTTTGTTTGTATCAATGTTTGCTCAAGCATTGTAATTAAAATTGACATCTTAAAAACAACATAAAAAGGCGGATTTAAACTTGTATACATTATATTTAAATTTGATTGGACATTATCAAATAATCAAATTTTCCTATACACAGGTTTAACTCCGCCTACTTATATTGTTTGCAGATGTCAATCTTAATTACAATGCTTGAGCAAACATTGATACAAACCTTTGTCTTGCTAGCATTATGAAAAGAGCTGTAAATTACATTTATGTTATTATTCTAAAACTAAGATTGCAACTCCTTATTTGGTTTTGGTTGATCAGCTAGGCCCTTTTAGTCACATGCCCTAAACGTTTTATTTTGGCTTTTCCCAACTTTTGCTTACTTACAAAACTAATGAAAGTTTTTTTTTCCAGACACACTTGTTGTGTGCAAGGAAGTCCTAGGATTTGTTCTTTTATTAGAAGTATACAAATGTGACTTACCTATAAATGGAGCTGAGCATCCTAACGTTACACCTTGACCTAATACCAAAATTCCCATTGCAGACCTAAAATTATCTATTCCTAGAAAATCGGCCACAACTGATGGAGTCATAGCGAATATACCTCCAGCGCAGAATCCAGCAATAACAGCAAGAAGCACAAAATGCCAATATTCAGTGTACAGAGGTGATAGTGCCAAGCAAACAGTTGTTACGGACAATGTTATTATGATTGACTGGTGGTTTTTTAATATTTTTCTGTCCGTTATAACTCCATTCATTAATCTTCCAGTAAAATCACAAGCATTTACGATTGAGATGAGACTAGCTACTCTTTCTGGACTAACACCATTGTCTTTTGCAAATGGAGCAATGAAAATTATCACATAAGCAGATCCAATGCTACCAAAACAGTAAACGAATAAATATACACACATAAACCAATGATGAAATACAGTACAATCAACAAAGAATTTCAATCTGTTTGCACAATTTAATGTGACAACACTCTCAACAGAAGCACATGACCTGAATTTATCAACTCTCAGTTCCGATAGAGACATGCTTACTATATCACTTTCTCCTAGTACACGTGTGATGTTGGAGTTTGAAATTTGATTAAGAAATTTATTTAATGATCCACTATGTTCTGGTTCTCCTAAATGTTGTGCCGAAAATGAATTTATCTTTAGGCCATTCACTTTATCAATCACTGGATAAGATAAAGATTCACTGTAACTTCGTTCTCGGTCATTATGTACTAGCAATAGCTGATTTGATGTTTTGTCTATGGAGTTTGTAGTCGGTAAATGATAAAGTGAACTTGTTTTCTTAATATCATCATTTGTTTGAACATCCATGAGGATTTCAACATCCTCTGTAGCCTTCAATCGTTTTGGCCTCAACAGTAAAGCAATAGCTACAACATTTAGTTGTATTCCTCCAGTTATTATGGCCCCTCCTCGAAGTCCATATTCTTTTATAAGATACGTATAGATTGGCGGGAAAACAAACCCGCCAAAACTAAACCCAGCTACAACAATGGCTTGAGCTAAATTTCTCCTTTTGACAAAGTAAAGACCGTTCAGATACATTAACGGACCATGACAGAGAGAAAATGCAGTTCCTAAAAATGAAAGACCAGAATATTAACAGCATTAACATAATGTAAACATCAACAAATACCACAAATTAAATACAATATAGGGGGATTTGATTTTGTCACCAAAAATGCAATACATTGAGGTACTGTTGTGATATATAACATTTAAACTGATTTAAGAGCGAACCATGTGCGATATTTGCAATAGGTCCGTGAATTTTTGTTATATAAAATGTAAAAAAAGCTTCAAAGTGAAATCATGTTAGGGAGCTACCATATGATTTTGATGGGAAAATTTTGTCCTGCATTTTTTTTTAGCTGTAATCTCTGTCCTGCCTTTTTATTTATCACTCTATGCGGTCCTGCATTTTTTTTTTAGTTCATCCTGACTTTTTTTTACCTTAATTGTCGTCCTGACTTTTTTTTTTTGCAAATGTCTCATCCTGCCTTTTTTTTACTCAAAACTCCTGTCCTGCCTATTTTTTTCAAATTTCATCCTAGCCCCGCTCCCCCCCCCCCCCCCCAAAAAAAAATATCAAATAGTAGCTCCCTTTAATAGTATCATTTGAATTGCATACGAAATTTTTACCAAATCAATGGCAAAATATTTTTCATGCGCCCGACAACGAAAAAATACAGATCTCAAAATGTTTCATGAAAACTAGTAAAGACATGTACAATTCTTATATAACTTGTTCATTTCGGATATAATCAAATTTTTTGGGGAAATTTCTCTGAAATCTATGACTTATATTAAATGGTTGCCTTATTATGACCAGGACACCTCAAATTACAAGTACTGAGGGGAAGGTATGACTTGCAGTCATTACCAAGGACTTATATACTATATATGGTCAAGGTTTTACAAATCTCTAAGGAAAGATTTTGGATGCAAAAGTGTGTTTTTTCCCCAACTGCAATTGCTCATTAATGTATGATGTTTATTATTTCAGAAAGGTAAATAATCATCATTTACCGACGTCGAAGCCTGAGGTTAACATAATTTTGTTCTGGATTACTGTAACTGCTGAGCACTCTTGGATCGGTACTGATTTCTTTTAGTTTGTTCTTGTATGTTGTGCCGTTACACAACTGTCCAAGATTAAGGGGAGGGTTAAGCGCTCACTAATACGTTTAACCCCAACACATTCTTTATGCATCGATCTGTCCTATAAGTCAGGAGCCTGTTGTTTTGGTTGTCGATGGTTCATGTCTGTCATAATTGGTTGTCGTTAACTATTTTGTTATAAATCAAGCCGTTGGATTTCCCTTTTGAAGTCATTTCAGGGCCTTTTATAACGGACTATACAGTATGGGTTTTTCTCATTGTTGAAAGCCGTTCGGTGACATATATTTGCTTACATCTATGTCAATTGGACTATGATGGATAGTTGTTTGATTGGCAATCCTACAACATTTCCTTATTTTTATATTAGTTTATTTGTAGTTAACTTTTAGTTACAGTCTAAGGTCAAAGTTTTTGGGACATCAACAATTTTGTCAAACCCGTAATAGAATTTTACGAAACATAGACAGATGCTTCTTCGTGCTCAAAAGGTAGTATTTAGGGCAAAGTTTTGAAAATATTATATTTTATTTTCCGTTTTTACTCTCTCTGATAAATGGATTTATTTATTTACAATTAACATTTAACTCCTATAGTCTTGGGTTACAGTTTTTTTGAGACATCAGTATGTTTGTCAAACCTTCATAGAATTTTTTGAAAACTTCGCAAAGAACTTTTACGATTTAGATTTTTCTGAAGACAAATTTAGCAAAAATATTTTTGGTCATTTTCAGTATTTTACTGATTACTGATATATCGACTAAGTTCTTTGCGGTTAACATTTCTATACAATCATTTAGACATAAACAACTTTTTTAAACCTTCAAGGAATGTTATGAAACTTGGATAGAAGCTTCTTCAAGATTGAGAAATAACATCTGAAAATATTTTTATTTTTCCGTATTTTACTGATAAATTAGCAATTTACATTACCGTATTTTCAACGACAGCAACATTTTTTTTGTCGAGAACAGGGAAAATTGAAAATCCAATATAGAAAAAAAAAATGTGTAATGTATACATGATGTTATCACATTAGCTATTATATTCACATTTCTACGTAACAATATAATCGATTTGTATATGTGTAAATTTAATTCAAATTTGGCCAACATTATTTTCTACACTGGGGTTTATACGGATATACCTTTTCTAATGACAATGTTATCATAGTTAATCGTTAAAATGCATGTGACAAAGACTTACATTGCGTCATAATATTATATACGGGCGTTTGCACAATTGGGCAATGTGCGAAGAAAAAGAGACCGAAATCTATCTCGCTGGTATCGTAGCTACGATAAACTTGTGTCGTAGAATTTGGCCGTTTATATGTCGAACAATGATACATCATTTATGTTATCACTATTTTGTAATCTTGACATATTTTCGTTCAAAATGCAAATATTTGCATATTCTGAAGAACATGTTTTATATTAACGGTGATGTGGAAAAAGCGCCCATTTGATTCCCCCAACACCATGCGTTTTGGTCCTTTCAATTTTTTTTTCTATTCGAGCATCACTGATGTGTCTTTTGTAGACGAAACGCGCGTCTGGCGTATAACATTTTAATCCCTAATTTTATGAGTTTATTTGACGTACATTTTCTCCTTGGTATAGAAAGCTCTTTTGACATAGGATTTCATCAAAAAATACTTTGTGCAGAGGTTAACTTTAGAAGCCTATAGTATTTTATCTACAAAACAATAACACCTATAACTGCCACATTCTATAAATTGTCAACTCCTACCAATCATAACACCGTTCGTTATTATGAGTATATGGACTGTTTCAACAAAACTGCATGATATGAAAGCAGCACTTGCCATTAGCCCAGTGACTATGCAAAACTGTCTGGTAGTAAAGTATCTTAAGCCAATAGTCAGCACCGGTAGAGCTGTAAATAGAAAACAAATAATTCATGGTACTATAGCACAACGAACTTTCGTCCAGGAAGTGGGATACAGTATTTGAAGCTAAACTTGGTGTCTGAAAGTTGAAATTTATGTTCAATAGTCCTGGTGATTTCTGAGGAGAAGATTTTTGGAACAGTTTACAGACGGGCGATGGATTGACAAAACACCAAAGGATGATAATAGCATGCGAGCTAAAACTAGTTTCACTCCTTCTCATCTGTCATTGTCTGTCCAAATATTAAAAGCTCGTCATAATTGGTAATTTTTTTCAATACCTTTCTATTTTTGTCATTCGGAACTTTGGTGTTGATGGAAGACCTTTCATCGTCTCTATAAAATATTCACACCTTTTGTCGACTTATAGAGATTTAAAGTTTGACATATTGTATAGACACCTGTGTATTGTTGAAGACTGTATGTTGACCTCTAGATGTATTTTGATTATTTGAGTCGTTGCTGTCTCGTTAAAGTATGTATACCCCACATATCACGCCATGCAAATATAACATGCAAATTAACGGAAACAAAGCGACAGGAATAATTAGTGCTAACATTGACTGATATTTATCGTTGCGAATCAGTGCTACTACTTATAAAACGTGTTGAAACCAATCGCACTGATTTACAAGTATTCCTCACATAAGTGCCGATACTACACTTTTGATACTTACTGAAAAGGCTATATGTACCCTGTAGTACACCAGGTATAACGGCAGTGATTGAAGAACTAGCACCAAACTCCTCTACAAAACCACTGAAGAATACACCAAATCCTTTCATTGTAGATCCAAATACACAAAAAAGTGCAGCCGATCCTTACATAGAACAAAAGAAAAGAAAGTTGCTATACAACCTTAGTACTTTTAAATATTTTGCTCATGGATTAAGATAAATACTTGCCTGAGATAGAGAAAGTTAGGTAGCAATCGAACTTATGATATTAAAGAGCAACTCTTTGTTCAATTGGTTTTGAAAAAAAACAAGCCCCTTAAATTAATAAAGTATCCCCTTTTCTGGAGAGAGTTCACTACAATACCAAAAAAATGTTCTTTTAGAAATCATTTCTTATATTTGTATTGGAGATAGACTTTGGATTTTTGATTTCTGTTATGCTTTATTCGCTCAGTATCACCAGAAGTCACTTACATGGAGAACCCCTTGTAATGGACTGTTGGTATTACTCATAGATTGAGTTGATTTTTATGCAAAACAAAATTAAGCATAGTATTACTAACTGAATGATTGTGATAACAATTGTTCCAGAGCAATAATATCTGGAAAGTAGTGGAGATACAAAACTATTGAAATATTTTTCTCTGAATTTCCGATGTTCAACTAGTATAGTTCTGACACAAACTCGTAGAATGTAGAAATCTCATTTTGTAGTTGTTATGGGAGATAGACCATTGTACATGGATTTCAAATATATATCTATCTCCATTTTTATCAAAAGTGGACATAGAAAATTATAAGACTCGCACGACGATTTGTCTATGTTAGGCCTAGTCGGTTAATATAAGTCGATAGACGTGAAGATGTGTGGTTATTTATTATTATAATTCATAAAAGCCCAAATCCTCAAAATATCCATATAAAAGTAAACAGAAAGATAAGAAACAATATTAGACATTTATCATAAAAGTCCAACGAAGTCGTAAGATATGTTAGCATGGCAAATTTAAAATATAATTTACTTCATAAATAATGTAGAGATTGAAAATATATTAAACATTTTCGAATTTAAGCCTGTTTTCAGATAGTTCCTTCCATTCGCTCTAGATTTAATTGAATGGTGTTTAGTTGTCGTTTCGAAGTACTTGTGAAGAAGGTATATCGCATTACTTTGGTTACAAGTTATGCTAGCAAGTACACTCGTTCTCAATGTGTTCAAAAGTCAATATTATCTGCTCTTTATAGTTTTCATACTTAAAATGATTAAATTTTCATCATTATAATAAATGCATCGTATCTGTTGCATATTTTAGATGTCATTTAGGAAAATAGTCATAAACTTTTACGCTTCGCATGCTATTTATGGTCGAAACATGCATCATTAAACAGTCAAACTGTTAAGCTTAAAAGAAAATAAAAAACAAACAACCATGCACCAGCTGTCATTGTGACTAAATAAACTCATCATAGATACCATAGATACAGGTGGATTAAAATTGTATACGACAGACGCACGTTTCGTCTACAAAAACCTCATCAGTGACGCTCGAATCAAGAGTGTAAATAATTTAAAATTAATTACATTTCAAATTTTAAATTTCATTTATTTTTAAAGCAAAGAGCTTTGTTTCTATAAAAATAAGGAGATGTGGTATGACTGCCAATGAGTACATTATTACATTTGTTTTCAAATAGGCTGTTAGAAATTTCTCAGCGCCAATGAAATATTTGTGTATTTTATAGATTAATGTGTGTGTTAATAAAAAAAAAGTTGAATCAATACTCAGTATGTTGATATGAAAAAAGACCCATCACACTATTACTTCAACAAAATCTGTCATAATAACTTAATAGGATGTTTTCTTTCAGTATGTACTAGAGCTCATTTTAGACCAACTACCCCCACAAGCCTGGGAATCTCGTGGCTAGTCACATATAAGGTGTTATGCTATCTTAGCGATATATGAGGTGCTTATGCTGTCTTGGTCATATATAAGGTGTTTATGCTGTCATAGCCATATATATATATGTGTCGATGCTGTCTTAGCCATATATAAGGTGTGGATGCTGTCTTAGCCATATATAATGTGTTTATGTTGTCTTAGCCATATATAAGATGTTTATGTTGTCTTAGCCATATATAAGGTGTTGGTGCTTTCATAGCCATATATAAGGTGTCGATGCTGTCTTAGTCATAGATAATGTGTTTATGTTGTCTTAGCCATATATAAGGTGTTGGTGCTGTCTTAGCCATATATAATGTGTTTATGTTGTCTTAGTCATATATAAGGTGCTTATGTTGTCTTAGTCATATATAAGGTGTTTATGCTGTCTTAGCCATATATAAGGTATTTATGCTGTCTTAGCCATAGATGAGGTGTTTCAGTTGTCTTAGCCAAAGATAAGGTGCTTATACATTACAACTTGGGATATTTTTAGTCAGAGGTCACATTTTTGTCCTAGCGTCTCAAATATTGCCAAAACCAAACACCATGTTATGCAGGTTAACTAATTATATCTAATGACATAAAACGTTGTTCTTATAAAAGCCCCCATGTTTTCTTAGTCATCGCTTGAAAAATTGCATCGATAAAACGATGATATTCTAAAAATATATAGAATAGTTTTACTCAGATTTGTCATTTGATGGATTTTAAAATTTTTAAGTGAGTTTTGTTTATCATATTTACATAACGTTATATTCTAGGATATAGAAAAATGCTGATATTTACCTGCTAAGACGACCCAGGCCCATCCGCCGTCAACATTTTTATCGTCATGTGATCTTGAACCAAGGTTATTCCCTGTATCGGTTTCGGCTTCAGAACCTTCAGTATATGAATCATTTCCATACTGGTTGACTGTTTTTTCACATGCTGTCATGACGCCCTCTGCATGAAATAAATTCACCTGATAGAAAATCAAAAATGCAAATAAACAATCCGTGCTAGGGGCCGTCTTAAAACTGCTCCGTGTTGAAGGCCTCACTGTGACTTTTAGATGAAATACAGCTGTTCCTTTGCTTTTTGTGTGCTTTTTTCTGTGCATGTACTGATTTTGTGTCATAGATGAATACCCCATATCCATTGTTTTTCTATAACATATCCTTAAATTGATTACTAAATGCAATTTAATTTGTTTTCCTTTCTATAACTTTATCAAATAGACATTGTCTTGTAATACCATTGTGTATAAACACTATATAAAGTGCGCAAATTTGGGCACAACAATGAAATGAATGATTATATTTACATTTATTTCACTTCATTTTCGCTGCACTTGTTATATCCATATCAAACAGTAAAGGTTAACAATAATATCGACCAAGAGGTAATTATATTGTTAATAATACCTCTTATAATGTGTATTTTATCTGCGTTATAGCATTTACACTAAAAAGAAAAAAGTTTTACGTTTTGATTTTCGATAAGTCAAACCGAACGAGGTACGTTTTCATTTTTATCAACTTAAAATTTGTAAAAGAAATCATTTTTTTTTTCACTTTTAAATTAAGATATGTTAAAATAAAGATGAATTGAGTTTGATCTTATAAATAAATACGAAAACGAACAATGTTTCACTTAAAAATTTTATTTAATTTCATTGTTCCTGTTCTGGAGTGGTAATATCAAAACTGGACACATTGTGTATTATCATCTCTACTGTTAACAAACTCAGTTTATTGTTGTTTTAAACATCTGTTTGTTAAGAAATATTATCTGTCCCTTTATCAGCATGAGACAACAGATTTATAGCTCTAATTAACCATTTTATAATTGAGAGAAGATAAGGAATTTCCACTCCGAAGGGTTTAGATGTAAGACTGATTTTGTTGTCTTTCTTTTTCCATTAGTTCTTTCGCATACTTTATCCAAAAACTCTTGTAAACATCATCATCAAAGAGCAATATATATTATTAAGAAAGGTCTGACAAATTATGTGGATATACTTTTCCGTAGGAAGAGTGTTTAGACATTATCCTTTCATGGTAATAAAGATGTAAAGTCATGTATTCAGTCATTTTCGTTATTTTTGTGTAGATGTTGTATTTGAGATCATTGTTTTCTGGGTTTTTTTTTCTACCTGTCTACTATAAATGTCATTTAAGGGCAATAACCAACAAATATAAGTCAGCTGATTGAAGCAAAGATCCTGATTCCACACTTGGCTTACAAAAATCTAACAATGCCCTTTTCTATCATCTGCATTGAAGACCTTTTCAGCATCATCAGGTTTTGTTGTAATAATAGCGTTTTTATAGCTGTCAAATTTTCTCTGTCAGTTATGGTTATCAAGGTATAAGACAATTTAGTCAAAGGCTCGCACTTGCACTTTCAGTCAGTTAAGCTTATAAAAAATTTTACTTTTTCGGCTTCAATATTTATATGTAGAATTAAAAAAGATAACGAACTATGATCCGATTTTCGATTAAAAAACAAAAAGGTTTCGGAACATCATCGTCTTTCTTTATTTTTCATAAACTAGAAAATTAGAGGCAAGAATAGTTCACCGATGTTTAAACCTCACAAACCCATTAAAAAGAAGATATAAATTAAGGTAAAAAAACAAAATTTCAGTGAATCGCATGAACTCCAAAATGAGCGAGACCGGGTGAAGTGTCTATTGCTATGCATCTATCAACATGAAAAAGTGATGCAGACAATTTTTTAAGAAAATATGTTGCTATGTACTTTTTGACAGATTAAATTGGTTAAGTTTCCGAAACAGAATTTCATATCTTAAACTAATTCTTGTATGTAAAATCTTACACGACAAAACTCCTGATTATCTGAAGAAAGTTGTGTGTTCAGAACTCTGAAATTTATGAAAGAAATTTAAGATCCGTCTCAAAAACAATTTGGTAGTTATTCGACCAAACACAAATATAATAAAAAAATCTTTTGCTTACAGTTCTGCAATTCTAAGGAATAACTTACCAACGAACATAAAAACATCAACATCCTTATGTTTATTTAAATCTAAATGCTTCAAATATCTCCATCAAGCCACACAGAGATAAATCATTTAAAATTAACATGCACACTATGAATGATATGAATCTTATGTATACATATGTACTACTTGCTTGTTCTTGTTGTTTATTTGTATGTCTATGTCCTGATTTATACTTACTTTATGAGGGCCCCAAGTAAGATAAATGAATACTAATTGGGTTACCCTCTTTAAATAAAGAATATTTTTATTATTATTATTATGTCACAGGTGGCACTGATATACCTGTTATCAAGTGTAAACATTCATGTTATCTGCATAGATATCTTTATCAGGTTCAATCCACCATTTTCTACATTTGAAAATGCCTGTACCAAGTCAGGAATATGACAGTTGTTGTCCATTCGTTTGATGTGTTTTGTCATTTGATTTTGCCATGTGATTAGGGACTTTCCGATTGAATTTTCCTCGGAGTTCAGTATTTTTGTGATTTTACTTTTTATATGGTATGTAGGATTATAATAATGCAATTCATTCATAAAAATACGTTTTACATCAAACTACTGATACCTTATTTTGTTTTATCGTCTTGATAGCGGAGTGACCACTTAAACCACCATCCCCAGTGATAAAGCAAAATATACAATGTTGGTTTATATTTATCTTTGGATGCACTGTTATCATTCACATACTGACGAACAATTATATACTGAAAAAAAAAAGAAATCAAAGTTCTGAAATATATATCGTTACAAGCTTATATAAATACTTACAGATGAAAACAGAATAAAATAATACAGGAAATCCGCTTGTTATCCTTGGCCTTATAAAATGTACGACAAAAATGCAACATGTAAAATTTACTGTGAATCAATATCAAGATAACTATGTCGACATATTTAAAGTTCAAAGTATCCTGGTATCTATGATGAGTTTATTTACAGAAGTATGTTGACAACAGAGGATGATATTTAATCATGCATGATTCATGCACATTGTTAGGTTAAAACTGCGTCTTTTAGCTGACAGAAAACACAAGGTCATTACGTAATACAACATATATTACTATATCTGGGACACAATATACTTGATTGATTGATCAAACGATCGTGGGAACTTAACCTTTCACATATATTAAGAAAATAGCATTTTAAATAAAATATCCTGTTTTACTAGATTGGTATATTATATATCCTACAATGTTCTAACTCCAAGAATATCATTCAACAGGAACAAGTATAATATGTCACTTAACTAACACGAATTTTTCTGACTGCAAGGCGACAGTATTTGTCCTTGCTAATAAAAAAAATCGTATTGGAATCGAACCCATGCCCAGCAGTATCATAAATGAAGTCAAAATGAAGCTATAATTGTTGATCGGGTCTTGAATACCATATTGTTATTCAATATCTTCTGTTGCCCGGGACATGTTCCTAATTATAAATCTCATTCTAGCCAATCGAATTTTAGCCACATTATACGGTAACCAATCAGAACCGATCTTTGTTAACTAATAATTTCAAGATGGCGTAAATATCGAATGATTGAAAGTAATAGCTTCGGAACGCGATGCGAAGCAATTAAAACCAAAATTGACCTGTAGCAGTCTAGCTCAATCCATCTATGGTCAACTTTGTCTGATGGAGTTTCAACCCCATTGTAATATAATTACAAAATTTAAAATCTACCGACAAATAGTATGATAGTTTAAATCATTCTTGTACCGCAGCTCTGTCTACTGGGTGGTAACCATTGGGAGTGATAGTCCACCAGCTGCACAATCGACACTTGTTTCTTCATTTTTTTTTCGGAGTGATAGTCCACCAGATGCACAAATAAACTCATCATAGATACCAGGATCAACCTTTTATATTTACGCAGACGCGCGTTTCGTCTAAAAAACACTCATCAGTGACGCTCGAATCAAAAAATGTTTAAAAGGCCAAATAGAGTACAAAGTTGAAGAGCATTGAGGACCAAACATTCCTAAAAGTTTTGCCAAATACAGCTAAGGTAATCTATTCCTGAGGTAGAAAAGCCTTAGTTTTTCAAAAATTCAAAGTTTTGTTAACAATCGACACTTGTTTCTTTAATATTTTTCGGAGTGATAGTCAGGCCACCAGCTGCACAATCGACACTTGTTTCTTAAATATTTTTCTGAGTGATAGTCCACAAGCTGCACAACCGACACTTGTTTATTCAATTTTTTCGGAGTGATAGTCCACCAGCTGCTCAATCGACACTTGTTTCTTGAATATTTTTCGGAGTGATAGTCCACCAGCTGCACAATCGACACTTGTTTCTTGAATATATTTCGGAGTGATAGTCCACAAGCTGCACAATCGACACTTGTTTCTTGAATATATTTCGGAGTGAAAGTCCACCAGCTGCACAATCGACACTTGTTTCTTTAATATTTGTCGGAGTGATAGTCCACCAGTTGCACAACCGACACTTGTTTTTTAAATATTTTTCTGAGTGATTGTCCACAAGCTGCACAATCGACACTTATTTATTTAATTTTTTCGGAGTGATAGTCCACCAGCTGCTCAATTGACACTTGTTTCTTGAATATTTTTCGGAGTGATAGTCCACCAGCTGCACAATCGACACTTGTTTCTTGATATTTTTCGGAGTGATAGTCCACCAGCTGCACAGTCGACGATTTTTTCTTAAATATTTTTCTCAGTGATGGTCTACAAGCTGCACAATCGACACTTGTTTATTTAATTTTTTCGGAGTGATAGTCCACCAGCAGCACAATCGACACTTGTTTCTTGAATATTTTTCGGAGTGATAGTCCACCAGCTGCACAATCGACATATTTTTCTTGAATATTTTTCAGAGTGAAAGTCCACCAGCTGCACAATCGACACAATCGACACTTGTTTCTTGAATATTTTTCATCAAGTTCGTTTTAGAAGAAAAGTTTGCAAAGGATCTTGAACTTATTTTGATATTCAGTTTATCATCTTTGATTCTCTTGAATCACCTCATTAAAAACGGTATTTCACATCCTAAATTTTACGGTAATATTGTACTAAAAGCGCGGAAATCACTATGTGATCCGTGTAAACTCATCGAACCTTTAAACAAACTTATTAGTAAAGGTTATATTATTAATGTTATAATACAACCCTTAACATCGATTTTGTCATCAACAAATTAAGACATAACTAAATTTGTATTCTTTTCGAATGGTTTTTGGCATGTATAACTACACACCCACGTTAATTTTCTATTTAGAGATTGCTTTATCTATATATAACATGATACATATTTATTATAAGGTTAAATTCTAACGATCCTACTGCCTGTCGATACTTTTATTTTGGCATTGCACAAGTCATGTCTTCTTTGACTGTCCATGACGTTAAAACACGAAATTCCTTGGGTGTGTTTTAATTGATTTTAGTCTCTGATGCATGATTATTCATTGTTAATTGTTTTTGGCTTTTAGCTAGCTTTCAGTAACTGCGAGTACTCTCAAATCGTACTTTCGTGTTAATTTGACCTGTTGACACAATTTAAATGCATTTCTGTAATTCATATTCGGGGCCCTTTATAGCTTGCTGTTCGGTGTGAGCCAAGGATCCGTGTTGAAGGCCGTACTTTGACCTATAATTGTTAACTTTTTATACATTGTGACTTGGATGGAGAGTTGTCTCATTGGCACTCATATCACATCTTCTTATTTATACTGGTGAGTAAACTACAGCCTATGTTTGTTAAACACGTGTCATATGGCCATAGACTTATTTTTGCACACCATCGGTCAGGTTAAATTTTTCTGTTGTAGTGAATTTATTTTTAGTGAAAATTTCTCTAAAGGTCAACACTATCTGAAATTTTGTTTTCCATACATTATGTTATGTAAGTCAGCCAATTTTAAGTACTTGCATATTTTGTTCACATGTTTATTCTTATTTTTGTAGTGCATTTTGTAAGATGAATTCAGTGCGACAATGTTGAAACTTCATTTATTGCACTTATAAATCTAATTTTCCTCCAGTCAGATTCAGACTTAACTGTTGAGGCACTCTGCCAAAAAAGGCTATACAAATATAGATTCCTTCAATTGGGTAATGCTTTTCCTCGTTTGCTTCATTTAGGTTTACATGATGTCAGGTTACTTGGAGATGATACATCTGAGCATTATTCCATTCATTTCATTATTTAATTGAGGATAACAATGTTACTTGTCATACAAACACACCATTTAAAAAAAAAATATTTTCATACAATTTTTTACCTGCGACACCTCTATGGTGTATGTTCTATATTGGTTAACCGAGATTTTTGCTTTATTACAATCTTGATTCAAGCAGTTTCAGCCCTACAATGTCAGAACTGACTTTTTGTACTTGCAAATTTATATCACTTCCTAAGCGGAATTCGACACAAACTGTTGAGACAATGAAAGACAAACAACACAATGGTCGAAACAATAAAGACAAACCATACAATGGCCGAAACAATAAAGACAAACCATACAATGGCAGAAACAATAAATACAAACCATACAATGGCCGAAACAATAAATACAAACCATACAATGGCCGAAACAATAAAGACAAACCATACAATGGCCGAAACAATAAATACAAACCATACAATGGCCGAAACAATAAAGACAAACCATACAATGGCCGAAACAATAAATACAAACCATACAATGGCCGAAACAATAAAGACACACCATACAATGGCCGAAACAATAAAGACAAACCATACAATGGCCGAAACAATAAAGACAAACCATACAATGGCCGAAACAATAAAGACAAACCATACAATGGCCGAAACAATAAATACAAACAATACAATGGCCGAAACAATAAAGACAAACCATACAATGGCCGAAACAATAAAGGCAAACCATACAATGGCAGAAACAATAAATACAAACAATAAAATGGCCGAAACAATAAAGGTAAACCATACAATGGCAGAAACAATAAAGGCAAACCCTACAACGGCCGAAACAATAAATACAAACCATACAATGGCCGAAACAATAAAGGCAAACCATACAATGGCAGAAACAATAAAGACAAACCATACAATGGCCGAAACAATAAAGGCAAACCATACAATTGCAGAAACAATAAATACAAACAATACAATGGCCGAAACAATAAAGACAAACCATACAATGGCCGAAACAATAAATACAAACCATGCAATGGCCGAAACAATAAATACAAACAATACAATGGCCGAAACAATAAAGACAAACCATACAATGGCAGAAACAATAAAGACAAACAGACAAACATTTCACAATATACTACACAGAAGCAACAGAAATCCCATAAATACGGGTGTAAACTCATGGAATGGACAGTAGTTCCTTATTATTTGATACAGAAACATTTACTTTTTTTCGCAAAACAATGTCACAATCAGTTATACTTATGATATTAGGTGTCATAACTTTCTCATAAACATATATTAAAAACAATTTTTTGATATTTTTGTAAGAATATTAGAATACATAATATCAAAAATATATCAGTTACGAAACACAGCTATGAACCTATGCATTGCAATATATTCAAAATGATACCAATAAATGGATGCAATGAAACTAGATGAAAGGAGATAAGTAGCTTGCCTAACTATGAACAAACATATTATTTACAATGGAATACTTTGCTTGCCAACTTTTAAAAAGTTGACCTTTTTCAGTAGCATATCTGTATAGTTGACACTATAAACGAGTAGCCGGCCGTGCGAGACCCTCATGGGTAGTCAAGGTCGTTAAACATCCCTCAGTAGTAATATAAACGATCAGCTGATTTGTTACTTGCACAGTCGTTATTTCAGTGGTTAATCCTCAGTTGTGTAAAGGATTTGTAACGTTCACTGTCTTTATTTCAGTCGTTAATCCTCGAAACCTTGTCGGAGTTGTGTAAGGATTTGTAACTTGCACACTGTCTTTATTTCAGTTGTTAATCCTCCAAACCTTGTCGGAGTTGTGTAAGGATTTGTAACTTGCACACTGTCTTTA